AATATAATGCATATGAGCATGAAACCTGCAGCATCATATAAAGCAGGGGTGGAATACCAGGGGCCAAATATGACCCTTGAGCATTCCTAGAATGCTTTGCCTGTTTTCTTGACTTCATCTTGTTTTCCTCAAACATGTATAATTTGCTGTTTTTCTCCAAAGTTTGTGAAGTTTTTCCTCCACACTGAAAGAGCGAAATGCCACACCTGTGGGTTAATTACTGTCAGCAAAAGCTTGAAGTGAAACTACAGTTTTTTTGGCATTGTCTGAACCTACACACCACTGGAATGCAGCCCTCAAGGTCCTTGGTCTGAGAAAAGGCACAATACCCATGATGTAAAACTGAAGATTTATCAATATCTTCGTAAGTGACAAAGACCAGCAAAATTAACAATGATTAAGAAATCAGCCCTCTGATTTACTCTGGAATTAGAAAACAATGCTTCTTGCACTTTTGGCATACAGATACACAACAGTACAATGCAGTATGGCACATATGCACTGCATGGAACAGAATCATTTTATATATGGTGGCCTGTTTTCAACAATGTTCCGTTTTGTATGCAGGGGAAATTATGTGAATGAGAGAAAAAAAACTTGTCCAAAACCTTACCGTTACGACAACTACAGCTGAGGCAACAGTTTAAAGATAACTTCAGAGTCATCAAGAAAGTAAACTGGTTGCAGCCACATCAGTTCAATCCAGCCCTCTGCAGGCAAGGCGGCTGCACGTGGGGGAAACTCCGCTGAGGTTAACTCACCCTTGCCATGACAGGAGCACACAAACTCTGCCTGGCTGGCTGGCGACGGAGTCTTCTCCCTTCCAAGAGAGGTTCACCAATTCCACCCTGCCCACTCCCATTTATTGACTTATTTATGACAGAACCTTTGCAACCGTTGTTGTGAACCGCGCAGACAGCTCTGGGTATCGCGCAGAAGAAAAACTGCTATAAAGAAATAAAGGAGCACGAGCTGTGGCTGTGAACAGGTACTGTTGGAACCTGAGTTCTCAGAGTGAGGCAGGAGTCTCAATAAAATATTTTACTGCAGTAATTTCAGTAATTAGCAAAAAGCATTTATGGTCTTAATAAAGATGCACACTTAACAAATCACAACAAAGCTGCTAGACAAGAATCAGTTCACGAGCCTCACAACAGAAGTGCCAACTTTCCCTGGGTTCAGCTCACAGAACAAACCCCAGCAAGTTCACAGTTCCAGAGAAAGCAGGAAGGCTTCCAGGTTGCCAGTGCTTTGTTTCCAGCAAGATCGACTGCTGCTTGCTCAGGTATAAATCGAGGGGAGTGGCTGCTAAAGAATACTATTAGGCAGGCATTTTATTATAATGCATGAAGCTGTTTCTACTCTTGCTTCTCTTTAAAAATTAGGCATGTGGTGATCTTACTTTTGCAGTTTTAAATGTTGATTTATAAGCTATCTTGAGTCTGATTTTATGGCAGCAAGGCAGCATTATAGATGTCAGCCGGAATAGGAAACAAATAGGAGTGGGGCACACAGGCTTTGCATGGCTAGCCATACAAGGGAAAACTGGCAATCCAGATTAGATTCATGCACTGCACTCAGGGGTGCCTTTGAGAGCAAGTAAACCAGGAACATCAGTTGAGGAGAGACTGGCCAAACTGTTACCTGGTCCTAATGGGCATAATCACATTTAAAAACATTCACTGACTTTCCAGGCTTAATTCAAATTTCTGGCTTGGACCTTTAAAGCCCTACACAGGCCACCCTGAAGGCCAACATTCTGCCATATATACTTGCCTATCTTCTAAGCACTGCATCCAGGTGCCCACAGTGGCTAACGGAAAGGGGTCTTTTTTGTGGTTCTGCCTGATCTGTAGGACTTTCTCTCCTGCCATGTTCACTTGGTGATATCACTATTATCTTTTCGGCTCCCAGCAAGCACCATCCTTTCATTGGTTCTAAAGATACTTTTATTAAGCTGCTGTTTATGTATTTGATAGCTCATTAATGTTTTTAGAGTGTTTGAATTTTTGAAATGTTCCCTTGAGAATATTTATTCATAAAGAGGGTATAGGACTTCCACTGTTAGTGCTTTTCCCTCTTCACTAGGTCCTTTAGTTGGTAGTAGTCCTGACTGGTTCATACATGGGTTCTGAGATTCCTTTTGGTAACTGTGAATTATACATAATGCAAATCAACAGCACATTAATGATAAAAGACAAAAACAAATACTTATGTTCAGTTTTACACAGAACATAAGGTAGGAATTTCAATTTTATAGAGCATATTTTAAAGTGGCACTGTATAAATAGTTAAAGAGCTTATTAATGATTGACAGGCAGTATAAGAATGTTTCTGATATGCATAATTCATGGTCTGGATCTAGGATGGGCTGACTTCACTTTAAAAGGAAAAACAACCCAAACTTTGAATCCCTCTGGTATGACACTGTGTTTAATTTTAAAACATATATGCTCAAGATATAATGATAATGATGATGATATTATCGTTATCATTATTATTATTATTATTATTATTATTATTATTATTATTATTATTATACACCCCACTGACAAAACTATCTGGGCAATTTACACAATCCATAAAATAAGTGATAAAAACAAATAAAAATATCAGGAAAAACATTTAAAAATTTAAAACAGCTAAAAACAGGTGATAAAAAACAGAAAATAGAAGACATGACAAAAGGGTGACTCTGTGAAAAACCTGGTAATCCCCCTTCAGCCCCTGGGTAGCCGAGTAAGTCTTTGGAAGCCTCCAGAAAGAGGACCATCTTAACCTGGTGATGAGGAGGGCCATCTTGACCTTAAGGGCCAGCTTGGCCAGAGTAGGGAGGCTGTTTCATAAATATCGACCTTCTTCCCACTCCTCATCTAGAGGGTCAAGAGGACTGCAAGAGGCATTGTTGGGCCATGGCTCAATGACCAGTGCTGGAGGCTTCGGCAAGGGGCGGCATAGAAATGTCCTAACAAATAAATAAATAAATCAATAAATAAGAAAGAGGTTACAGCAGGGGTAGCTGTTCTAGAAATCAGAAGCCACATTTGATCATAGTCATTTCTCTATGTAAACATCTGTGATCTTAAAAGGCATTTTAATTCCATCCACATGGGACTGCCTTTGGGACTTATCAAACTTTTAACAAGCACAGCACATACTTAGACTGGTAGAGAAGTGTTCCTTCTAGCAGAACTGTTTGTAATTAGGAAGGGTTGACAGAAGATATATTGCAGGCCTTCCTTTTGTTAAAAAAAAAAAAAATCTTGGCTAGGGTGTGCCATCTCATGAGCTAATGTGTCCCACTCAGCAAGAAATGTCACTCCGGTGGGTATAGGGAAGAGAACGTCGCCTTGTCAGGAGGAGGAAAAATGCACACATGCCCTGAGAATTAGCTGATTTTCCAATTCTCCTGATTTGTTCAACCCCAAACCTTGCATTCTCCTAACCCAACACAGCAAGCACTATATTTGAATAAAGCAAGGATCTATCAATCACAGTAGGATATGTGGGGGTCAACAAGCAGAAGTCATTGAATTCTCAAATGCAGCTAACAGATGCTCTTTTCACAGCAAGAAAACATTTGTCCCACACAATGTTTTACTGCAAAAGGGCAAAAGTGTCGTGGGATGCAGCTAGCACTTCATGTATGCCATCAAGTGAAGAAAAGAAACCATTTGCCACTTTGCTGAGAAATGTGATTGAAATATTTTCACTTTCTATATAAAGTTTCTGTTTTTCAGAAATTGATTCAGTGGTCATTTGTTGGCCAGCTTTGGTGAAAGACTCAGCACACGCAAAAGTCTACTTGAAGATTTGCAGCCTTGCAATGGAAGAAACACTGTAATTAGAAATAAATAAAAATGATTATGAAATAAAAGAGAACGTAGTACACCTGCAGGCATTTTCATTACCTCCTTATTTTTTTTCCTCTGAGAAAAGTTTAAAAGAGCTTATTGCTTGGATTGTCAACAATAACAACAAATTTAAAAACCCAAGGTGGATTAAATATTCCCAAGTAAAGAAATTTCAGGTGAGATGTGATGGGGAGGCAGAATCACACAGTGGAAGACAAAAATGTGCCAGAAGGCAGAGGACAGAAAAAGGTTGATAACATACCCCTGAGCCATTCAAGTTTCTTAGTAATTATAGCTTCCTTATAGCCTGAAGTGCCTGATCCTGCTTAATCTTGGAAGCTAAGGAGGGTCAGGCCTGGTTGAAATCTGGATGGGTGACTTAAATGTTGTGAATCTCTCAGAGAGCTTTGCTATGGGTGGTACAGAAACGTAACAACAACAACCTGAGTAAGATATTATGGTGCCTTCCAGTCTTTAAACTGACTTCAATCCTTGCTTGCCGCAAGAATATAAGAATAAACTACAGGTGCAAAATTCTTTTACCTGACAGCCTAATTTTGTTTCAAAGAACTTTTCATAGCAGCATACCATTGGTCAATGGGACAAAAGAGGAGGGACCAAAATGCCATTATATTTTAGCTTGAAAATCTTATTAACAGTAGCCTTAGCAATGGTATTTTAGATATTTAATTGGGGAAAAACCACCACAAATGCTAGAATAAGCACCAACCAATTAGTGGCTGGGGAAAGAGGATGGGGTCAGGTAAGAGAGTATAGCTATCTGGAAAAAACTGGGGGAGAGATCTGGTCCCCAGGGCTGGAGTTTTGTGCCCCTGAAATAAACACCACATACAAGGTTGCTAAAACTATGAGAATTGTTGCATCCTCTGAAAGAAAATATAAATTAGCAAAAGGCTTGGTGAAAAAGAAGAGATTACTATTTTAATTAAGCCATTACAAGGAATCACTGATGCTCTAGTGCTTGGCAATGCAATCTCCTTTTAAATCTAGCAAAACAAACATCTCTCTTTGAAGTGTAACTACCATTGCAAGGAATGTACTGCTGAATCTTCTATGTATTAAGCTTGTGTTTCACTTTGAAGAATGCATACATAGTATAATCAAGTTTAAAGGAATATTCCTTACCGAGACAGATGCATCTTCAGTTCTTCTTTTAGCGCTGGAGTCAAATAAAACATTTCGGCCTCTTCTTTCGCAGTCCTGGTACACAATTAGTCGGATCTGACTTGGATCGAATTCCGGCAATGGCCAACTATAATAAGTGAAAAAAGAAATGAATAGCTTCTTACAACTGATGCATCAAGTCTATTGAAAGATGGCATCATAAATGGACAGTATAAAATGCTAATATGTATGAAAGACATCAAGAGGCAACTCCTTGCCCAAATCGCACAGTGCTGTAAAATCCTGCTACTCCATGTCAGTTAAAACAATTTCTTCTCAAAAGTACTTCTCACCCTTTTCAATACACAATTATGAGTAGGATTATAATATCTGTGTTAAAAGCACATGCAGTGATAGGTAATGGGTTGTCTTGAATTTGTTTTAGGATTAATATCACAAAAACAATTGATTTCTCCTAAAGAATTTATCATGACCATGGAATCATCATGAGTACTCAGTCCCTTTTTCACAGAAATCCAAGACATATTTAACATCAAATTTCTAACAGTACACTGAAGAATTTTCCTGTTAAGCCCTTTCTCTTTCTCCTGAAAGGCAAAACAACCCTTCCTCCTAGGACTGTGGCCTCTGCCTCTACACAATTGCCTCTACAAATCTTGGAATAAATTGCACTGTGTCTGAAGAGGGAGAGGACCTTTTAACAAATTCTTGACAGCTACTCTCTTAAACATGATTTCTGTCTGGAGAGATGATGCTGAACCACGATTAAAGCCAACAAATATGTGATAAAAAGGGAGGAAGAGGGGAAAGTGCCCGAGTCACTATCTTACAACTCCAACCAGCGTGATGGATGGCAAAGTAAAAACAAAACAAGCAAAATCTAGCACTATTCAGCATTCCTACTCTGAGAACAATAAACATGAAAGGAGGGGGTAAATCATTAGCCCCTCACTCTCCCTTGATGCTTCTGTTACACTCTGCACATGGAGGTCACCTTTGTGAGGAGAAATCTCCATGAAGGGCCTCCATGCAATTCTAAATGCTGATTTCCTGGCGTTCCAGATCGCCCTGATGGACTGAGAGGGCTCTCTTTTTCACATTACTGCCCTCCATGTGTGGATGAAGTTGTGAGTATTGTAGATTGCTCATGGTTTACAATGAGGCAGCACAGAAATGGGACAGTATAAAAATAGGACTATGGGGCGGTACAGAAATGAACTTAAAACAATAATTAATAGTAATAATAATAGTGTGAGTGGGGATAGGGGTATTCCATTGCCTATTATTCTCAGATTTATAACACTTAAATAGGGCTTTTCTGACTTATTTCATGAGTTCCTGTGACGAACAATGCATAATAACCAACGCAGGCAAGCTCTTGGAATTTAATTTCACTATTGATCAAGCGTCTTGTACAAATCCCCATCCCCACACCATCCCCAGATTAGAAGATGAGTACCCAAAAAGTTAGCATGTCAAAGAAAAGGCTATGGTAGAAACTTGCACTCTGACAAAGAAGGAAAGGTAGAGGGAGAAAACACAGCATAAGGATGAGCATTCAATCATGTGAATCTAGCAATATGAAGGCCTGGGGAAAAAATGGAATAGAAAAAGGGAGGACCCTGTTTTTTCCCAAGGACCTAAACAAGTAACATTTGCTCTTGCAGCTTAAGTCATCCATCCTACCAAAAAATAAAGAATAAAAAAATTACAGGCAGGGGTTCAAGTTTGGCTTTAGTTTGCAGTCTACATACCATATATTTCCTGACTTTCTTGGCTGCCTGTTTTATTACTGTTGCATTGCCGCTGACAAAATGTCACACACTGATACAAAATCTGAACCACTGTATAAATAAAAAGCACCTGTGGACAGGCAGCATATGGTAGCAACACATTTTGTAAGGACAAAGTGGTGGTGTGTTTTGAAGAAATGTAGCATCTACCCTCCCAGCTTAAATGTGAAATTGCCATTGAGCCAAGAGAATCCAATGGTGAGAGGAGCAGGAAAAACTAAAACATTATGCTTAGAGTCTTACTTGAGGAGCCTTAAGATTTATTTATATACTGCTCAGGCCACTCATATAAATGTGATTTTCCTGCCCTCAGTGTGTGCTAGTAACCAAACAACTCCTTACCAAATCTCACCCTCAAATCCTTTCATTACCTAACTCTTAGCAGTGACCCACCCCCCACCCCCAGTATTAAAGTATGACTTCCACATGCCAGTATTTTGACATTCGCCTCTGACATCTGTACCTGGCAATGAAGAGCAGAAAATGTTCCAGAAATTTTAAGCAAGTCTGTTTATAAAAAGCTCCACGAGCAGATTACCTACTAAGAGGAAAGTGTGCTAAATATAAAAAGCCTGCTACATTCAGTAACCTGTTTGATCAAGGTAACATGAACCTGTTTACTCCACTGTCTATACGCATGTTATTGAAACTGACTTTGAAAGGATGCGAGTGTGTGCTATAAATCGCCTTTTATAAGTGAGCCAGAAAACTATTATCAGTGTTACATAACATGACCTCTAAAAGCATTCTTTGGCAGCCCCAAAACAGGCTCAGAAACTGAGCACAGGGTATTCGTAAGACACTGGCAAGCTAGATTCCCACACATATCCATCCAACAGCCAGCCACATGTTTTTGCAGCAATTAGATGTGTGAAAAATAAATTGCTCATGTGAAGCCTGCATAAGCGACAAGGAGCGTTTATCAGCGAATGGAGTGTTTGTAAAAAGATCGTTAAAAGATTACTATCATCCCAAACTGTCATGCTGCACTGAAGTTGTGTTTTTTTTTAAAGCCTGCTTCTTTGAGAATCACAAGCTTCCCTCTAAAGCAGTGCTGACCAATGTACTGCCCTCCAGATCTTGCAGGACTACTGTTCCCATCAGTCTTAGCATAGCCAATGGTGAGAAATAATGAGAACTGTTGGCCAGAACATCTGGAGGGCTCCAAGATGCCCACCTCAGCTGCTCTGTGAATGAAACCTTAAAAATGTGCCCTAGTTTTAGCATGAAAACTCAAGGCAAATAAAACAGTCCAACTGATCACCTGATGTGTAACCTGTGTCATAGACAAGAAGATACAATTAGGACAGAATACAGAGAAAATGGTTTCTCGTAGGCAAAGGTGACAGATGGAGATGCTTTTTATTCCCTATCTGTTCAAGATGTATGTGGAACATATAAGAAAAGCTGGATTAGAATCAGAGGAAGAAGTAAAAATTGGTGGAAGAAACACCCATATTTTAAGATATGCAGATACCATAATACTGGCAGAAAGCAGCAATGACTTGAAATGACTCCTGATAAAAGTGAAAGAAGAAAATATAAAAGCATAGCTGCAGCTGAACATTAAAAAAACAAGCATGTCCACAGAAGAATTACAGAACTCTGCTGTTAATAATGAAAAAATTGCAATTGTGAAAGATTTCACATACCTCGGCTCAGTCATCAATTCAAAGGGAGACTGCAGCCAAGAAATACAAAGACTGAGACTTGGAAGGGCAGCAGCTGAAGGAACTAGAAAAGATCATCAAGTGTAAGGACACTTCACTGGAGACCACGGGCAAGATCATCCCCACCATTGCATTTTCAATCACAGTATATGGGTGTAAAAAGTAAACAGTGAAGAAAGCCGACTGGAAGAAGATTGATGTGTTTGAAAGTCGGTGCTGGAGGAGAACTTTGCGAAAACCCTGGACCAAACAGAAAGATGAAGAAGTAGGTCCTAGAACAAATAAATCCAGAGCTTCCTCTAAAAGCAAATATGACAAAAATGAGGCTGTCATACATTGGACACTTCATGAGAAGCCAAGACTCCCTGGAGAAGATAATCCTGCTAGGGAAAGTTGAAGGCATAAGATGAAAAGACAGCCCAAATATGAGATGGATCGTCTCCATAAAGGAAGCCACAACACTGAACTTGGAACTGCTGCATGGCTCTGTCATGGACAGGACATTTTGGGGGACTTTCATTCAGAGTTGCCATAAGTCAGAGAAGCATTGCTGGTGCATAACAACAAAAAATGAATAATGTTTTGTTTTAAAGGATCTCTTTCTACCCTCTTTTTAAACCTTTAGAAGACACTGAAGTGGTACAATAGGTAACATATAACATAATAGGACATTCTATATCAGCCAGGTAAGTTTTGAGTATATTTGCATAATTTGTGTACGAGTCTGTTGTAAATGGATCCACAATTCAATTTGAATATTTAATCACATTATTATATATTATATGCTATAAATATGATATATATTATATTCTGCAATACTGTGCGGCTCCTGTCCAACAGCATCCAGGAAGCCACATGCCTAGGCAGGGATCTGCCATTCTCAGTCTGACTCTCTGACCAGAAAGTCCCCCACTCCTCCTTGATCCTCCCAACACTGCGTTGGAATAAGAGGATTCATTGTTAGCATGGCCAATGCAGCATCTCTCATTTTGCCCAAACCCTGCCAAAGTTCTTGAGTGGGGCTATTGGCCCAAGCAGCTCTTCCTCTCTGGAAGAAAAAGCTGCCCATCATTGATACAGGAAAGTGATGCTTTTTCTGAAGTAGCTTTTTGGCACCTTAGAAAGATCAGGAATGCTTGCTCAGGTCTGTTTTGACATTGGGAGGTCAAAAGGCTTCTAATATGGAGGACCTATTTGAAAGCCCATATAGTTAATTATATGTAACCTATCTTATTACACATCAGTTTTATTGGTATGACAAAACAGACCCAGTGTTGTGGAAGTGTACAAAAAAGACACATCACTAAAATAGCCCCAAAGGACAGAGTTTAAACCAGGGGAAACTACAAACATCTGTTTCTTTCCAGGGGGTGACATTGCAGCAGGGTAGGGAACCTGGGCTACATCCAGCCCTCTTGGGGACCCAATCCCTAAATGGATACGCCAACCCCTTTTTCCCCAAACAGCAATCAGGCGGTAGGTCCCTGGCTTTTCTGCACCCCTCCCCAGAGACCTCTCCTAAGGCTTAGTTATTGACAGAAAAGGCTCCAGGGTGCAATCCTGTGGCGGCAGCTGAGCACTTGAACTGGGAGCTTGTCATCCAGTACCAAGCAGGAGTGGCAAAGGTGCCCCCCCATCCTCCTGCCATGCATTTCTGCTGGAGCGCCGTTTGCCTGTCCAGCTGGAACATCTTGGAGAGGGAGGGGCAGCGGCTGGAAGACGTTCCAGATGGCTCATATCCGGGCCTCTGCAGGCTCTCCCCTCACTGCTCTCCAGAATGCCCCCTTCTCCCCTCTCTGAGGTCGCTTTGCAACTTCAGAGAGCGGCCAGGACCGTTCTTTCTGCACCAGCTGCAAGGCAAGAGGAGGGGCAGGAGTTGGAGTGCTATTTCTGCCCTCAGATCTGGGAATCCAGTTTGGCCTATGGTCCCCCGAGGGGCTGTGAGAGGTTTCCTCCAGATATAATATGCTGGCATTTTTTTAAAATGTTTGATCCTACAGCCTTTTGCACCTGGACCTTTTGTCTTTGGTCCTGCCCATCAGTGGAATGCAGCCAACAAGGGATACAGTAGATGGCCAAACCGTTCTATCATCTGGAGCATGGAACAGTGGCATCTGGTCCTGAGCTGGATATAAAAGATGCTCAGTTGTGAGCGGGTTGTAAAAACACAGCTTTTTTTTAGTGCCAAGCACATAATGATCTGAACTCAACTTATTTTAACCTGCCTTGCTCCCTGCAACCAACAGAGAACAGATACTGAAACACACTCCATTCTTTACCATTTTATTTACCTCTTCACATTTATTTATTTTATATTTGTTTTCTGCTTGTTGCATTTCACCCAACTTTATACACTTTGGTAATTCTGCTGCTCAGCCTCTCCTTTCTTTGTACATCCTAATGGCTGCTATGGTCCCAAGCCATAGGATGCTCTAAAACACCAAGCTCTTTGTTAAGCACCTAAGGGTGCAATCCTATCACCCTCGGGGTGGCTGCTCATAAGCCTTGAAGGCATACGAGCCTCCAGTACAAGGCATGAGACACAGCGGGAACCTCTGCAACACCCTGCATTTTATCTATTGGCCCTCCAAATTCAGCACCTGGAACACAGGCTAGAATCAGGAGCACCAGCCTTCACCCCTCCTCAGCCTGTCACTCTTTTCCCTCCAAGGCCCAGTTGCAACATGGAGGTTGCCAGAGGACCTCACTGCTTTGACTTCAAAATAAATCCTACAATCTCCCAGATGATGTCAGGAGACTGTAGGATTGCTTCCTTAAACCCTTTCTTTTGGTCCCTATACTGTGCAAAGTAGACAGGATCCCACCTTAAAGTACCCAGAAATAAGATACCAGAACAGGTGGATCACTGATCTTAGTGCTCCACCATGTACTGTAACTTGGATGTTCAAGCTGAATCAGACTAATAAAACATTTCATACCAGGAAACAGGTGCAGAAGATAGCAACAAGAAGAAAGAAGCAGCATTGGTCAAAAAGTGAAAAACTGAACAGATTGGGTATACTAATTGTTTTTAAAACTGCAGTTTTATGGATGGAACCACTGATTTAGATGCAACTCAACAGGAGTCAATCTTAACTGAATTCTAGATTAGGTAAACACCAATGGTATTTCAGACTAGATATGGTTTTCCACTCATTGAAATCTCTTTGCTCCAACTTATTCAGATTGCAGAAGCTACATTCCAGTATTCTGAGTTCCCTCTGAAAGAATTTACTCCTTCATATCCTATCTACAAAATATTAGTATGACCAGAGGGCTGATAATATTTTTGTTACATTATCATGATCCTTTATAAAAACAACAAAACATGGATTCCCACTTAGACAAAAATCCTTTTTGTTCCTTAGCATAATTTATGAAAAATATAAACGTGCACTATTTCCTGTATGTAACAAAAACATTTGCCTTCATTTTCAAAGTACATAAAACTTATATTGATTTACAAGATGCACATTACCCTATTTCCCATTTGTGACACCAAAGTACTGCTTTATGACATTACTCAGAATAGCCCCATAGAGACACTTGACAGCTTTCTTATTGTTCCCATTATACAGATGGAAAATAGAGGTCCAATGTGTTTCACCTTATCAAACCATTTAATCCAACAGGGTTTCCCACCTACAAGCCACTAAAATGAACTTTCGTTGAATTTTCCCTGCAATGCAAATAGTTTCAAATTTTATTTAGATAAAATGTAAATTCTATGGAAAATTCTCATAATTTTCCTAACATCACCATCATATCCAATAACACTGGCTGATTCCCTAGAACATTACGGCTATCAAATTATTACTTCCAACATCATATTAACTAAAGTTACAAAAACTGCCGGACAACTAATCACTTTAAAACTATTTTTAAGGGCATCTACGCAAATGATATTTATAGTTTATGCCAGCTTATCTGTCCTGCATGCCTTTCATATTGGCACCTTTTTAGAACACTGATAGAACAAACGCCCTGAAATAGGCTCCTGGTCCTTTTCATCTGGTACCCAAGTCACTCTTGAGCTTCCTAACAGTGACTACTACTGGACACCTCAGTGGAAAAGTATAAGCATTCAAATGCATCTAATTACAGTGATGTATAACAAGGGAAACACTGAATCCTCTTGCTAATAACTAGTGCCCAGTTTATGTTTCAGCTTGTAGTATTTATTCTGTTAATTATTTTGGTGCATGTGCAATGATTTACACCATACAGGGTCAGGGTTAGGTTAACATCAGAGTGATCTCATGGGTTAAAATTAAAAACGCTGTAGGTTTTAAAGGAATTCTGTAGTACATGTCTGTATGTATGTGGGTATGGTGATACCTTTGCTGATGTAATGTTGCATGAAGGATTTGTACATGTAAAATTAAGGTTACTTCTCCATAAAACAGATGTTGTAGCACCTGGCATAGCTGAGTCTTACAGCGATTGGAACCTGTGAATGGGGAGTGACTCACGGGTAGTGGATTTATACCATATGAAGGATGAGATAGGAATCAATAACAAACTCACTGCTTATAATACATAACAGAAAAGCAAATAACTGAGGAAAGATGAGGCTGTTTAAATCCCATTTCATTCAAAAGGATTTAAATTGCCTCACTGTGTTCAGGATTTTGGTGTTCCTAATGAATTCAAAATTCATAACATGGATAATGCATGGCTTAAAATATGTGCAGCTGCAGGGTTTAAAAAATACAATAAAATTAGTCAAGGTAAGGAGAATAAGGGCTTGTAGGCCGCTACCCTCTCCTTCTCACCTTGGCGTTCATGGCCACCTTGCACCAACTTGCCATGAGCCAGTCATTCCAGGGGAAATTCTAAGGAAGCTTTTCTTCAGAGGAGCTACTAATGGCCTGCAGGTCTTACTCTGGCCATGTCCAACACCTTGTTTCCGCCCTAACATGGCAGTGATGGATAAGTGGGTACCTATGGCACAAGACAGGTGTTTAACTCTTTGTCCACATGCCAAGTCTCCCCTGCAAATACGCCCCCTGGCTCTGTTCACTGTATTTTGCCTGAGCCCAGCTGGGCTCCTAACGGGATAAAAAGCCCTCCGGAGGAGAAAACAACCTGGGTGTCAGGAGTGATAAGGATGACTGTTGGGGCATTCATTCTCACAAACTGCTGGCTTCATTCTAGATGGTTGAGAACTAGAATGTAAAACAACTCACAGTGCGACTGGGGAGGGTGGGTCCTGTTGAGACTCTGAGATGAAGTAGGCGGAGGAGATTATCTCAAGGCCAGACACTTCACTGAGCCAGACTGTTCCTGGGAATGGCCAAGATGTATAGTCAGTGGGAGGGGCCTTTGAGGATTTGGAAGTCTCTGATGAAGACCAGCCCCCGCCCCGCCCTGCTCTCGACCACATGGTGAGCGATCAAGCAGAGGCGGGGGGCCCAACTGAAGGAGCGGGGCGCAGAGAGGAGGTGTGTTCGCCTTCAGAGAGCCCCTCCTGAGGGGGTGGGGCTCAGGCATGTTCATAAGCAGAGTTCCTGGAAGCAAACACTAGAAGTGGGTTCAGCAAACCACCCTGTGCATGCTCAGAGATCTGCTCTGGGTGATTTGTACTTGGGAGCAATAAAGGATGTTTTGCAAGGGAAACTGCGTGTAGCTTTTGACAACTCAGAGGAGGAACCTTGGCTCCCAACACTGGGCGATATTTGTAAGGCAGAATCAGTAGGCGAAGGAAGGCTTAAACACCTGCTCTTCTGCCCACCAAGCCTGCCCTGCAAGAAGCACCCCACTTTTAAAGTCTTGCTATCCAAATAAATGTGGCTCTGTTTGAATAAGTCTGCCAAGATAGCATGGCAGTCCCATGAATGCTTTCCTCAGCTGTGTAAGGGCTTTAAAATACACATTCTAAGTTACTTGATGACATCTTATCCTCACCTGGAATTCTTACAGGTAACACCCTTACTGGTAAAACCCTTCTCACCTCACAGTCATTCCTTCATAACTATCACCTAGTGACCTGTCAACTTAAGTTACTGCCTTTATTCACTTAGGGAGATTTATCTCCCTGTTAGCCATACCTAGGTTTAGTTTCCAGCTCTACCCACAATAAAGTGCTTTAATCAAGTATTTTATATTGGATAACTAATTTATAGAAACACCAGCCATACAAACACAGGTATTAGGGCTGTCCACAAACCCTTGCATAGTGCTACAAAACCAGCTCTGATGGCGCCATCTTGCTGGATTGCTCTATGCTAAGTGGGTGAAGCCTGGATCTACTTGAATCTGCAGGAATCTACTTCCAGGGTATACCTAGCACATCCTCTCCACTGGGTTCACTGTGATTTACCATGACAGAGCGTTAGGCTTCCCATAGGTGGGAAACCGTATTATATACGCAGCTCTGAGGCCTGGGAGGTGGCCTTGGGCCAAGCAGGCTCTTAGCTTACTCTGCATCACAGATAACATTAAAATCTGCTTTTGGCACCCAACTGGGAGGGAGGGAAATTAGACAGGATGGAAAGACAGACAGACAGTATTCAAATCACGCAATATTGATGAAAGTGATGAAGCTCTGGTAAGGAAGCTTACAAAGGTTTAGAAAACACTAACTTTGAAGGGAACCTCCAAATTCTAGCAGCAAGCAAGAGCTAATCACGGACTCTGCATGGCATAGTGGTTCAAGTGGCGGGCTGGGATTGAGATCGGAATTCTAGTCCACATTTGAACATGAAGCTACTGGGTGACCTTGGGTCAGTCACTGACTCTAAGCCTAACCCACCTCACAGGGTGGTTGTTGTGAGGATAAAATGGGGAGGAAGAGGACAGTGTAAGCCACCCTGGATTCTTGGCAAGAGGAAAAAAGGAAAATATAAATATAATAGTAAACAAATAAACACAGACAGGATCCGACTAGAGAACAAAACAGAAAGAGGGGCACCACTGCAAATTTCAGGGCAGGGATTCACAGAAACCTTCAAATGATTATCCTGAACATTTCCAATTGCAGGACACCTATACAAACCAATACAATTCAGGTAACTTGCTGTTGTTATTTTTTAATTTTATAACATCCAAACATATAAGTGCTTGTGAAAAAGGATGATCTGAAACAATTCCCCCCTTGTCCTTTTTTTTATAAATGAGAACATGGAGTGAGGATGTAGCACTTCAGCCCTATTCTTTAAAGGAGGGATGCAAAACCTCTTTGAGACCGAAGGTCAAATTACATTTCCTGTATGGCTTCCAGGGCACTCTGGAGAGGGAGCCAAGGTGCCATGCTCTGATTTACATGGGTGAGCTTACATTAAATTAAATTAAATTAAATTATTAAATTAAATCTTTAATTGGTAAGGGGTTTTGTTATAAACCCTGGGTACTCTATAAACACAAGCTCCTAAAAACATTTTATTTTTCCTACAAAAAGCAAAATAATGGCACGGAAAAACTGAAAGCCAGAATTCTCAGTTCTTGGCATTCCACAGCTAGGCCCACAAATGCAGAACAAAATTTTGATCTAAAGAGAGTTAGAAAATATGCCAATGCAGGAATGCAAGGGAGGATCAGGAAAGACTAGATGTCTTATGATATCATGAATATTTGCAGTTGGCAAGAAGGAGGTGAACACCAACTTTGGGGCTTCATGTTCTGCTACAGTGGAATTAATTCTATTCATTGGGCAATCAATTGGGATCAGTGCTTATATGCATTCGGGAGTGGGCAAAAGGAGCATTTCTGGAGCTGGCTTAACTCAAAGAACTAGTGTGACTGTGCAGCCGCAATTGTTCCTCAGGATCCATCATTAAAACAAAGAAAATGTCCCATCCCCATAGCCGTCTAGCCCTGCTGGGCAATTCCTGCCCCCTCCAACCCATACAACTACTGATTACAGGAGTTTCCCCACCTCTAATGAACTCTTCCAATCCCTGCGCAAAGAGCATGATGATGGACTTGTAATCCCAATCAGCGATAGCTTTCCTTTCCCTGCTTTCAGAGTGCCTGAGGTCAGCCGATGTGGAAAGGGGTCTTGCACAGGTGGTCCATCAGGCCCATCCGCCCAAACTTTGTGAAAGTCAGGACATCCTTTGCCAGATTATCTTCCCAAATTCTCATGATGCCCCTGAGACATCATAAGATCTTCCGTGCTTTTTCTGACACTCCGCTCTCACCTCTAAGGGAAGCCAACAGACTGTGCCAACCATCTCCAGCCTCTCAATCCTCTCCACCACAGTGGGCTCCACCACAGGAGTGGGGAAGTCCTCTTTCTTACCTTCTTAACTATCACACTGAAGTGGTTCTGGATCAAAGTTATGGGGCCAACAGCACTACTTCAGTGTTTGCAGTCTTGCAGGAAGATGCAACTGACACTGGTACTGGGACAGAAGGGGAACCATAGACAGACTTAAAGTTCTGAATGGGACAAATTCTTCAAAAGGCCAGAAATAAATAGGGCTTATTCCAAAAGTTTGAATAGTTTGAAAGTTTTATGTGGCAGGAAATGCCACATTTCCTGCATGCCACACCTGCACAGCTAAAGTTGGAATCCAGTAACCCCTGTCCAGATGAATGCTTGATATCACACCAACTTCTGTTAGGCAGTGATCGGGTGGGCAAGGCTGAGCAACTACCAAAGGATGAACCCTCAGCAGGGTCCCACCCACAAGAGCCCTCTGGATTTGTTCCTCTTCTTCGCCACTGCAATTTGCTTGGTTCTCCTGCCTCTTGCTCTGGTCCAGGGTACAGTGTTGGCCAGGAGTGGGAGCAGAAGATGCCACTGGCTCCTTGTTCACAGGCACTGTGAACAAGATGAGGAACAATAACCCTTGGTGACAGTGGGGATGAGAAGGTAAGGCTCCCGGGGGGGGGGGGGGGGCTGCTGAAGGTAGGAGCTGGCCTTGGGCAGCAACCTGTTTCTTCAGATGCAAAGACAGAATCTGACCCATCTTACTCACCTGCTCATTCTCCAATAATTTCTAAATTAAGCTGCACAAATTTTGGTTAAACCATCCTGAATTGTTTTATAGCCTGCGCTACTTTGAATGTCACATTTAAAAAAATCCAATCTCTAATGCTGTCTCTGGGCTTCTGTCAGACTGTTCTCTAGACCCGCCTTCTCCAACTTGGTGCCCTCCAAATGTACTGGGCTAGAATTTCCATCGTCCCCAAACAACACGGCCAATGACCAAATAAAACTAACTTGAGCTAATTTTCACTGTTATCTCTTGCCTGTGGGTTTATAGTCCCTTTTTCCATTTGGCTAAAGAACAGATTTTGATTCAGGATTAGTAGTAGGATCATCTGCTAAAGACCCACTCAAATCCCCCCACTCCCCATTTGCAAATATTCCTCAGCCCATTTTTTTTAAATGATATAATTGGACTGGGTAAGATGGATTAAAAGAATATACTGATGCTTTCGTCATTTAACTGCTATAATACTAGCTACAAGTACTTCAGGAGGGGGCATGATGAAGCCAAAGTGAAGCACTTTTGAAATCACATGTATTTCAATAATGGAATTTAATGGAAAATAATGGAATTTAAAAATGCATACATTTGAGTGGAGCATGCTCTAGATAGTCAGATGATAAGGTATGGGGATACTTTTAAAGTATATTGTACCCCAACTCTAAGCACATGTTCAGTTTCTAGGAGCTTTATTATACATTGAAACTTTCACTAGTTGATTATTTTAGGAAATAATCCTTATTATACAGGCAGTCCCACCTAAACAAGATTGTAACCTTGATGGATTAGTATTTCAGGCAGCCTTCCATAATCTTTCACTACAGCAGCAAATCTCTTTGAAAAAACTATAGGAGGTTATGGCTGCAACTCTACAACTACTTACTTAGGAGTAGGCTCAGTGAACTCAATAGGGTGTACTTATTGGCAGAAATTATCTCAATTGCACTGTGAACATATATGCACATGCACGCACACACAAAAACACACACACCTGCCATGCTACAAAGCTCTTCTGTAATAAAATAAAATAAAGACAGCATCAGTTCTGTAAAATAAAACAGGACAACATCAAACATACACACTTTTTAACCAAGTTTACCGAATTGCAATTGAAAAGATTGCCCAGATCTTAATATTTTGTCATACCTGGGAAGCATTTTTGTCCCTTAAGCGAGCTCCACTTTTCAGAATCTCTACAAACTCCTGTTAGGAAGACCAGCTGCCAACCCAGGTTAATAATAGAAATGAACCACATTCATCCAGAACCACAAGACTGTCAGGTGACAGATCGAGAGGTCTGAATTTAACTGAAACAAAAGACGTTCCATGCTGAAGCACAAAAAAGGAAAAAAGGAAAACAAGGATGCAGAGAGGAGCTTGATCTTAGAAGCAGGATTATTCCTGTCACTGACACCCCCCCACCAAAATCCCTCAAAGAAAAGAAGCAGATCCCTGAAGCAGAATCCAAGCTTCGAGACCAGAGTCCGTGCATAGATGCTGCCCTACAGTTTCGTAACAGAGAGCCTGCCTTTCCATTCTGTTGTTCGGTCCAGAATTGTTACTGAAGCAAACCCTGCTTCCCCAGTTCCTTTGTCTCCTCCAGTGTGTTACTGCAGAGGACAGAAGATCAATCTAATTCAACAGTGAGCTAAGTGCCCCCTTGGCAGCCACTGTGCCAGTTTCCTCTATCCTTCTCCTTTAGCAAAACCGATCTGGGTTGAGCCTCATGACCAGGTTGCCCAGCAGCGGTGGCTGCAGCCCCGAACCTCCATGATCCACGTCTGCCAGAAATCCAGATGGACTGAAGGGAGAAAGACAACAATGCAGCCTCCTCTCCGGGCGACCTCCCACCTTCCCCTCCTCTCATTTTCTACATTCTTGGAAGCTGCAGGATGCCTGTGTTCAACCCTTGCTGACAAGCTCAGCCAGATGAGTGGAAAAGCAAGCCCTGATAGTCATCATGTGACCCAGAGCTGTCAGTATATGCCACCTGGATCAGCAACCGCTTGCCAGCCAATCCCGGCTCCGCCTTGCAGACATGCATGCAGATTTCACCATGAAAATAAGGCCATTAACCATTTAGCCAAGCCGAGCTCTTGATTGGATGCCTGATTGATTATTCAGCACAAAGCAGGAAAATTATGCTTCTTGTTCAAGCCCTTTTATTGCACTCTTCTGGCACAGAGCTGGGAAGAATCCCAGTAAGAGTGCATTTAAAGTAAGAAGAGATAGCTTTGTTATCCCCCCACCCTGAAATCTGTACCCTCCAGCATTGCTCAGCCTGGATCTTCTATAGGAACAAAGGAAGCACTGTTTGCTTCTCTAAGGGCTCATTAATATTACAAGTGAAACCCCAGAAACTGCAAAGACAATTGGATGACAATGTGCAGTTTAAGACCCACTTAGAAACCCTGCCTGATTTCCTGGCTGTAAACAAGGTTTCATAACTGCTTCTGGGGCATCACATAAATATGGAAAGGGCTGTTTCAGGAATTTCATCATAAAAGCAAACGCAGATTTTGTAGGGCTTGCCCTACAATCCTGGAATATGGGGCAAGAGCAAGTCATGAAGAATCTCCAGTTTACTTGGAAGTGTAATCCTTTCTCTCTTGCCTCAGCAGTAAGTCTTACTGATTTCACTGGGACTTCCTCCCAATTGTGTTCAGTACTGCAGCTCCCAAAGGTGGCAGTCTGTCTTTCTGAACACCCTTTTCCCATTGTCTCTTTGACGTAAGAGAATAAGGAAAATAACAAAGAATTCATGGTTTTTATGTTTGCAGAAACCATCATAGAAACTAGAATCTTTCTAAAAACAAGCAATTTTTAAAAAAATTTGTGTACATTTTTGGGGAGAAAAATTAAGTCATGCCACCATGAAACCCCCCCCCCCCATGAAAATGGCATACTCAAATCTTGGAGGGAGGGAGTTTAAAACATCACTAATCTTTCTTTAGCTTTAGACTCCTGTCAGTCCCCTAAAGCACATGTTGTTTATTTCCTAAAATTCAGTTACTTTATGGTGCAGGGTAGGGTAGGGACAGAACAGAAACATGTTGGATGGCAACCCTTCTTCATAAATATATTTTGTAAAATGTTGATTTTTTGGAAGATTTCCCCAATTTTATACAGTACAAGAAAGAGTCTGACTAGGTGTACACATTATTAAAGCCCATGGTTTATTTCACACATGGTTTGTAAACCTACCTGGGGTTTATCTAGCAGATAATCTAACAAACTGTGGTTTGTTTTCTCACTTCCTGGGTTGTTTCTCTCCTCCTTTGCTCACTCCCTACTTGTAACCCAAATGTCCTTATGGTACTGAGGTGCTGGCATGTAGAGCAGCTAGGGCTCTTTTTGTTTTAATTATTCTTGTCCATCTGCTCTCTAGGCTGGTGAAACAACTTATGGACAATCCATAGTTCTGGGTTTACATGTAATAACAATCCATGGTTTAAACAAACCAGAGCTCACAACCTGAAAACAAAGCATGAATTCTCTTTTGGGTTTTTTATAGTTGACAACCCATGCTTTATCGTGATATGTGGGTTTGCACTTCATAGCAATCCAGAATTCAAGAACTCATGAGTTAAACAAACATGTATTAGCATGTTGGGAAGCTCACTTCACTAGCTATCTTATATTTGTAAAATCAGTGTTACTGGATTATGCCATTCAGTGTCCAGAAGTTTTGATGGATTCCACTGAAGAACAGCAGTGTTCTTCCAGCACTGTTGTTTAGTGTTTGAGGGATATCTGATATACCTAAGTCCAAACCTGGTTTGGTCCCTGACCACTGGATCTCTGTAGATCACTAAAGAATTCACTTTTTTAAAAAAAAGCTCTGGGAATTCTGTTACTTCTGCATTTGGTGGATTTCAGCTCAGGAAACTATACCTGGAATTACACAGCTCAGTTATTACAAGTCTGAAGGATTTTGCTATTTAACTTGCTCCAACATCTAGTTATTTAAATCTTCAGAATGCAACAGCCCCAGCCCTGATGCATTGGCTGGTAATTTTTTCCAATGGACACAATTCTTTCAAACCTATCTTTTAGGCTCTGCTCAAATCAATGGCGCATTAAAGCACTCAGTTTTGTCTATTATTTTGTTATTAAGGAACACAAAGGGAACGCATATTCAGCGACACCCAAAAGGAACCATGGTTAAGTGCACATCTCGCTCTTAAAATAATGATGTCAAAAGTGACCTTTTCTCCTTTGATCAATGTAATGGTGAGAAGTTAGAGAACCTATTCTATTATGTAAATATCTATTCACAGGAGTGAGTTTCCATCTTACCTGACTCTAATATACATGTGCATAAAGGAACTTTTAAAAAAGGTGCAATTGTTGTCTAGCCAGTGACCAGGAAAAGGTGTGAATGGAGTTCAACTAAAGGTCTAGGAAATGAAGACCAGCCTCAGAAAATACAAACAGGCAAACCAACAGCAGGGAAATGCAGGCAATGCCCAGGTTGTTGCAAAGAGGCCCTGAAATGCCTGTAATAAGGACTGAGATCCTGTTTTGTAACTGGATACTATGCTTGGTTTTATTCTAATTCTGAACGAAGTTCAGTTCTGCCGTTAGAAAGATAATGTATTGTAAAAATGGACCTTTAAGTCACTGTCAGTGGCTTTAAAAAAAAGAGATGCTATCTAGAAACTATCAACCTAAGGAGGATGTCTTATGCTTTCATCATAGTGAATGTATGTTTGAAACAGAATCTATTTTCCCCATCAACAAACAAATCTGATATCTCTTACTTTACTGAAATCTCAAAACAGGATAAGGAATTAAGCAACTGGCTGACTGTACAGATGAACAGTACTGACAAATTTTTGCAAAACTATTAAAAACACTATCTTCCATTTTTGCAGGAACGAGCACTAGCTTGAACCTACAAAAATGGTCACAAAGAAGATGCCCATCATCAAGTCAATGGACAGAGCAAGCACAATTTTAGGTAAAAGGCAAGCACAATTTTGGGTAAAAGTTGATTTTGCAAGCCTCAAAATTTCCAATATTGTGAAAAGTAGTAAGTGAATTGTGATTTTATGAAAAGCTCTCTTACTATCCACATAGTACATTGATGGATACTTGAGAAGATAAAGCTTTTTTCTAAAGGTGTTCAATGCTAAATGAATAAGTTACAGATAGTTAAGTAAAAATAAACTAGCCAAGGAAAAATCTGATGCATAGTTAAGCTATACTGGAACACCAGTGTTTGTTTTGTATCCAGTTCCCAATTGCAATCTATTATAAATAGACACCAAACAAGTCTACATAATACCAACTGGTACTGCAAGACAACAGCGCATTTTTTCCCAGCCAAACAGTTATTTTATTGTGCACCCAATCTTTCCCCAGAGCTATTAAAATGAAAGTGTGAATAGAGCAGTGTGCACATTTAATGGAAAGATCTGGGAAGAAAAATTACTAGTGAAAAATTGCTCTTGGCCATTCTGTTGAAGCTATTATCTGTATCTCTCAAAATTACATGTGCGGTTTCCAGCTAGACATACAATATTCTGCTGGTGAGGGATGGGAACAGGAATAAGCAAATTGTGAAACTGTTGCTGTGACTTCTAGATTTTGGAAACCATTCCATAATTTACAGCTAGATTTCTATGTTTTTCCAGTGAAAACCATGATGGTTAGAAAGTGTTGATTAAAACTGAAGCTTCATTCTAAAACATTTCATATTTTAAAATCTGTTTAAAGCATGCATACTCAAACACAGACGTGCACATTTTAAATTTGTAATTTCAATAACTTTTAATAACTTGTATCAAATTTATAAACTAGATATGGCCACCAGTTTTGTTTTGTGGCAGGATGTTACAGTTAAAATGTAAAAACTGAAACTGATGACTTCTAGGATTGCCGTGCTGGGACTACAATCTTCTGCACACTCCCTTGACACCAAGTTTCATTCTGCTGTTTGGGACTTTGGTCCAAGTAAACTTACCAAAGGCTTGTGAGAAAATATTTATTTTATTTATTAAAACATTTCTATGCCGCCCCTTGCCGAAGCCTCGGGGCGGCTCACAACATACAATAAAATGCACAATAAATTAAAACAATAACAATATATATATATATATATATATATTAGAATAAAATAAGCCGCCCTGGCCAAATAAAATTTCCATAGTATTAACATTTAAAATGCTGCTTAAATAAATATTGCCACATAGGTTAGAATGGTGCATCAATTTAGGCGATCTGTTCTTTCAGATGTACAACAAGGGTTGAAACTGACAATGACATTTTGAAGAAATCTGGGCAAATCCTGACCAAGTGAAGACTCAGACATAAATTGTTAGGGAGAAACCCTTTGGACATCTAGTCCTTGGTGCATGCTACTATTTACATGGGGATGAAGATGTTAACAGCCATTTGCACAGCCATGATCCAGAGGAACAGCCAACTGAACACTGCAGGAGGCCACCTGGCTCATACCTTTACTCTGACTACCCCAGGATTTCAGGAAGAAGCTTTCCAAGCATGATCCTGCAGGGTAAAAACAGATGCAATATCACAAGACAACTCAGTGTGAACTGTTCAGCAGGATTACAAATGCAGGCTCCTTTGCTGGATGAGACATAGAGCAGCCAACTGAACTCTAGTCAAGCCACCAGCTTTCCCACTTCAAGGGGCTTCCCTCCTTTATTGTTTTCTTAAGTACCATCTAGGCATCCTTCTTTAAAAACAGTAACATGCACAGTTTTAAAGTTGCTTAAAATGCAGAGTTCAGAAATGGGGGCGGGGGGGTATTTAGCCAAAATCTGTGGTGGCCTTGAAGTTGATCCTTTCTCTACTTGGGACTTGGGACTCTCCAAGTTGCACCCAAGATTGTGTGGGATTTCCATCCCCAGGAAGAGGGCAAATAGTGGCTTAGTGCAACTGCAGGGAAGGTCCCCTACTGTCCTCTCTGCTCTACACCTGGGTCAAGAGTGGGGCTTGTCACACTGGCTGGGGGAAGAGTGTGGCAAGCACAGATGCGGTCTCTGGCTTCAGAGGACTGCAAAACCTACCCAGGAAC